AGTCACTTTGTTTAAGCAAACACAGTACAAAGTAAAATAAAACCACAAAATGATGAACTCCATGTTCATAACATACAAAAATTGCCGCCTACTCAGTAGGTAACTACAACATTCCAACTCCTGAATATACGTATAAATTTACATTTTCAGTTAAAAAAATAGACTTTTGAGAGTTCAGATTTTTGTTTTAAGTTTTTTTTTTCTTCTTACATTCTGGAGAACCAAAGCTCAGCTCAGCCCTCTTCCTCATTTTGCTCTCAAAGCCTCCCCCAAAACATCACTCCTACCCCCTTAAGGCTAGAGGTGAGCGTGTCCCTCACAATTGCACATGTCAAGCCATCGGCAAGGCGTGTCACACAAAAGGCACCAAGACGTGAAACTTTTGAAACCAAGGGGACGGGAAAGATTTTTTTTTTTTCAAAAGAAGAAAAAAAAAATAAAAAAACCAAACAAACCACACTTTGTCACATGTGAGAGTACAGCCGAGCAGTATTTACAAAGTTAACGGAACGCTCTGACACATGCTCTGGTCACTACCTAGGGCTGCTGCTTCAAAAAAACCTATTGTGGCAGCAGCATCTTCACAGAACAGAGGATCACCAATGGTTTGCTTGGCTTTGCTCCCCCTCCCCCAGAAAATGAGGAGTCAACCCCAAATGATACAAGAGTATGCAAATTATCTTCACATCGAGAACACCCCAAGGAAAACAAAATCCATGGCACGGACGCTGTACAAAGGTAACAGGGCAGGGTTCTGAGGGCCCCAAACCCATTTTGCCAACTTGATGGTCTAGCACTGAAGGGAGCAAGGGCCAGGCATGTGGAGATGATACTGAAATGATTTATCCAATACCCATGCAAGTCAAGCTCTTTGGATAGAGGTGAAGAACTTGGACATGGCTGTTTCAGGCAGCTGGAGTCAGAGGGAGCGGGCGCGGGGAGGCGGGGACGACGGGCGAAGGGGCTGCCGACCAGCCCCACCTTCGGCTCTGGCCTGGAGGGGAGGCCTTGGCTTTGAGGTCTTCCGCCTGACCTCGGGGACCCCCCTGTGAGGGCCGCCTCCTCCCTCCTGTCCTTCGCGGCGGCCCCCGGGGCTCGTTCTCTGCCTCCCTTTGCCTCCCGGCGGTCCCCTCTAGCAAATCTCAATTGTCCTGGGGGAGAAGGTGGCCGTCATGTCCGAGAGCCCGCTGGAGGTGCTGAAGGAGTGGGTGACGGCCGCGGGGGGGAAGCTGCTGACCTGGGCGGGGAAGGCCGGGGGGCCCGAGGCGAAGGTGGTGGCCACCGGGGGCGACGGGAAGCCGCTGTGCGCGGGGGACGGGTAGGTGGAGGAGCCGGGGGACGAGTAGGAGGTGGGCGCGGGGGACGGGAAGGAGGCGGCGGCGGGGGACGGGTAGGAGGGCAGGGACGGGGCGGCCGGCGGGGCGGCGGCGGCGGCCTTGTCCGCCTTCTTGTCCTTCTGCCGCAGGTGGATCTTCGTGTGCCTCTTGCGCTCGTCGCTGCGGGCGAACTTCCGGCCGCAGATGTCGCAGGCGAAGGGCTTCTCGCCCGTGTGCGTGCGGATGTGCGTGGTGAGGTGGTCGCTGCGGCTGAAGTTGCGCATGCAGATCCGGCACTGGAAGGGCTTCTGGCCCGTGTGGATGCGGATGTGGCGGGTCAGCTCGTCGGAGCGCGAGAAGCGGCGGTCGCAGGACTCGACGGGGCAGGCGTAGGGCCGCTCGTGCGGCGGCGTCTTGCTGGGCCGGTTGGGGTACTTGCGCAGGCGGCTGGGTTTGCTGAGCTGGGCCTGGTAGGTGGCGTTCAGGGCCTTCAGGTCCTGGGAGCCCGACTGCGTGGCGAAGGCCTTGATGGTGGAGAGCGGGGTGAGGGAGGGCTGCTGGGCGCCCTGGAAGGGCTTCTGCTCGGGGCCGCCCAGGCCCAGGTCGCCCTGCGGCTGCGCGAACAGGTAGTCGGGGATCATGGGCACCTGGAAGGCCCCCTTGGCGGCCGGGTAGGCGGGCGGCGGGTACTGCAGGGCCGCGCCCGCGGGGCCGGGGAAGGGCTGGCTCGGGGGCTCGGGGAAGGCGTCGGCGTTGGGGGTGGGGAAGGTGGGCGCGGCCGAGTAGATGGGGCTGCTGTCGGCCGAGGGCCCCGCGCAGCTCAGGGACGGGCTCTGCGAGGCGGAGGAGGACGCCGCCGCCGCCGGGGAGGCCGCCGGGGCCGCCGAGGCGGGAGGGTTGCTCATGCTCACGAGGCCGCTGACCAGGCTGAAGAGGGGTTCGGGCCACAGCGTGTTGCCGCTGTTGGGCGCGGGCTCCAGGGAGAAGCGGCCGGTGTAGGTGATGGGGGGCAGCCGGGTGGTCTGGCTGGGGTAACTCGTCTCCACCATGGCCTTCTCGTTGTTCAGGGCGACGTCAGAAAAGGACTCTGGCGGGAGACACGGGGAGAGGGTGACCGGAGAGCCACCCCTCGGTGGGGCCGAGACGGGGCCGGGCCGGTCAATGGTGGATGGCAGCGGGGCGCAGCGCCCCTGGGCTCGGCCCGTCCGCCCCGCTGACGCACGCCGAGAATCCCCCCCTCTGCGGCGGCTCCGCAGCGAGGCTGCGCGCGGGCGAGGGAATCCCGCGGGCGCCCGGGGGGCCGCAGCCGCGGGGCGCCCCCCCCGCACCCCGCATCTCAGCCCTCCCCCCGGGGGCCCGGCACGCAGCGCCTCGCGCGCGTGGGGGAGGGGACACCCCGCTCATCAAAACAAACCCCCCTCCCCCCACAGCCACCCACGCAGCCGGAGCTCTCCATCCAAAACAAACGCTCTGCCCTCCGCTCGCGTCGCAGGCTCGGGGGGAGGGGGCTTCCACCCCCAACACGAGACCCTGGGGCCACGCGGAACGGAGAGAAACCCCAGCTCCGCCCCGAAGGTCCCGGAGCTGGTCCCCGCGGCGGAGGACCGGACGTCAGGGCGGCCCCGGGGGGGAAGGGGGGCTCGGCGCGGACCAGCGTTTACCTGTGGTCAGGTGTTCGTAGGGCGGCTCGCCCGGCTCCCCCTGCGGGTTGAAGGCGCTGCCGCCGCCCCCGCTGCCTCCCCCGCCGCCGCCGCTGCTGCTGCTGCTGCTGCTGCCGCCGCTGCCCTCTGGGGCTCCGGCGGCGCCGAGGAACTGGGGAGCCCCGTTGCTCAGCAGCATCATCTCCTCCAGTTTGGGGTAGTTGTCCATGGTGGGCGAGTGAGGGAAGGAGCCGAACGGGTCGGAGATCTGCAGCGGAGACATCAGCTGCATCTCGGCCTTGGCCGCTGCCATCCCGGACGAGAGCGCTGGCGAGCCGATGCGGGGCGGTGCGCGCAGCCCGGACCGAAGCTACTGAGGGCACCCTTGCCGGGGGCTGACCCGCTCACAGGCGGGGCGCGGGGCGCGCTGCGGGGAGTGTGGGCGGACCCCCAGACTGGCGGTGGCCGCGGCCCGGGGTGGACGCGGGGCGGCCGCGGAGGCCGGGGCAGGGGCCGATCTGGCGGCGGCGGAAGCTCGGTGGCGGCGGATCGCGGCGGCGGCTCCCCAAGTTCTGCGCGCTGGGATCTCTCGCGGCTCCCCGGATCGGCCTCTATTTCAAGGGTCTGGACCAGCTCGGGCCCGCCTCCGCCGTGACGTACATGGCCATATTTGGGAAGCAGGAAGCCCTAATATGGAAGGACCGGCCGGGAGGACCCGGAGTGACGTGAAGCCCCCCACCCCCCTACCCAAGAGCGGTGGGCACCTCCACCCTGCGACCCGCTCCAGCCTCCTGAGCGCTCGAGCCCCGGGAAAGCCGAGCGCTGCAGCGGCAGCAGCGGTCCCCCGGGGCCGGGCGCCCGGAGTTCCCGGCTTGCCCCCGCCCCAACCCCCGCTCGCCCCTCCTCCCAGAGCCGGAAGCGGCCGAGCCATATTGGGCCTCTCCAAATAAGGCGCTGCCCAAATAAGGCCTGTTCCGGCGGGGGATCCTTCCTGCTCCTTATATGGCGTTTCCGGGTCGGCGCTTCCCCCCTCCCCCCCCCCCCCCCCCCCCCCACCTTTGGTTCCCAACCAGGAGCTTGAGCGCGCGCCGGAGCCGGGGACGCCCGCGTGGGGAGGGCTGGGCGCGCAGCGGCTCCCACGGCCCCCGGGCGCGAGCTGGGCTGGGGAAGCCCGGGCCCGGCGCGGGGGCGAGGGCGAGCCGGGCCCAGGTTCTGCAGCCGTCATCCTGGGCTCACCCGCCCACCTCGGGGACCGTGGGAGCGAGCCTGCCGAGAGGAGGAGCGGCTGGGCGGGCTGGGGCAGAGGCCGCCCAGGAGAGGCGGGGCCCTGACCTGGCCTCTACCAACCGCAGGGTCACTTTCCACATGTCACCAGGAAACCCGAGGCCGTCGGTAGGCTGGGGTGTTGGAACCTGGGGCTCCCAGGGCGCCACCCAGATTTCAGAGGCCATTCCCTCCTCCCTGCGGTCCACCTTGGGGGACCTGGATTTCGGAACCTGATTGCCTCCCCGCCGGGAGCTGTTGGTTCTCGTGATGCCTGGGCACTTCCAGGGACGGGTCGGGCGGACCCTGGCCTGGTGTGAAGGGGGGACTCTTCCTCGGGGGCGCCGGGCGACCCCGGGCTTGGCGTGCCGAGGACGCGCCTGCGAATCGGTGCTGCCCTCTGGAGGTGTCTCGCTGTTTTCCCGGGGCCCCGGGCGCGCCGGGCTCTTCCGCCTCCTCCAGGTCCCCCCGCCCCCCCGTAGTCTGCGCTGGGCGCGGAGCCAGGCCGGGAGAGCCTCCGACGCAGTGAGCGAGGACTGAGCAGGCGCGGCGGCTCGGGCCTTCCCCGCAGTCCCGGGGGAACCGCCGCAGCCAAGGCGCCCGGCTTCAGGGTAACACCTCCCTCACGGAGCCAGGCCAAGGGCAGGGAGCGCGTGGGGGGGGTCCCCGGGGACCCTGACGCAAGCAGTGAAGCCCTCCTGCCCGAACCCTATCCCCGTGCACCCCAAAGGGAGAGGAGAAAGGCTCCTGTTTCTAGCTTAGAATCCAGGGAAAGTGCTGGTTTTTAATCTCATTTTTTATTTGAAAATAAAGCAAGTAGTGCCCGCGGAAGGAGGGACAGACTGAAGGTCAGGGTTTAACCGGGGAGGGGCTTCTTTTCGGCATTCTCTTTCTCTGACACCGCCCCCCCTTTAAGAAAAACAGCCCAGTGAGTCCAGACATGAAGCAGGGTTTCCCTGTAGTTGAGCTCACCGCTCCTCAGTTCTTTGGCCGGGTGCTGTTATTCACTTAGGGGCCGTTAGTGCGTCCTTTCACAGCCTGCTGGCCAGGACAGGCAGAGCAAGATGCTTCCTGAGGGAGAATGTCCGTTTTGCTACTCCGGTGCGGCTCTCTGAGCAAACTTTGCGTGCCTCACTTTCTCTAGCTGCAAAACAAAGCTTATGTTAGTGGTATTCACGAGGAAGGAGTGTTTGTACAGACTGACATTCACTCGGCCTGCTGCCCGTGTCTCCCAAAGGCAGAGCTGCAGTTGGGTGAGCCAGGGTGGCTGTGATGTTGCCCATCTAACCTCGCTGGGAACGCAGCTCAGTTGATAGGGAGCTTAGTGTGCAGAAAAACCTGGGTCCCAGCTCGTCGAGAACCAGCCCTGTGCTGATAATTCCTGATACTTAGGAAGTTCAGGTAGGACCATCAAGTGTCCTAGGGCATCCTTGGCGACTTAACTACTTTTGAAGGCAGCTTGGGCCACACGAGACCCCCAACTCTTTAAAAAAGAGAAGGAAAGCAACAACATCCAAAACAAGAAAAAACTGCACAGAGAGAAGCTTTCAGGGCTGGAGAGATGGCTTGGCAGTTAAGAGCATTCACTGACTGTTCTTCCGGAGGACCTGGGTTCAATTCCCAGTACCACGTGGCGGCCACAACTGTTTGTATCTTCTAGTTCCAATGACCCTGACACCATCACAACAATGTGCATAAAATAAAATTATTTTTTTATAAAGAGAGAAGCATTCCAATCCTAACACAAGAGCACAAGAGACGCTGTTCCTAACAGCTGATCAGTATCCCTTTTATTAAAAAAAAAAAAGACAGCCTTAATTATTTTATGTCTGAGGTTTTGCCTGTGTGAGTGTAAGTGCCCCATCTCTGTAAAGTGTCCATAGAGTCTAAAAGCAGGCATCAGATCCCCTGAAACTGCTTACAGAAGGTTATGAGTCTTCTGTGGCTGCTGGGAGCCAAACCAGAGTCCTCTCTGCAAGAGCAGCCTGTGCTCTTAACCATGGAGCCATCTCTCCAACCCATAATCTGCATCCTCCTTCTTGCAATAGAACTTTTTTTTCCCCCTAGAACAGAAAAGTTCAATCTCGATGCACAGTGGAATCACCCATGGGGCTCCTTGTCCTCTCCTGGAGCATTTAAAGACCAGCATCCCACCCCTCGCCACCCAGCCCGGTGCCAGGACAAAACAGTTGCCCCGTGAGTCTAATGTGCAACTCCGCCTGAGGCAGCTGCCTGTCTGCGTCTTGTGTGAGTCCAGCACCAGTTATTTTTTGAATGTTCCTCAGCCAGCAATTCCTCCTGAGAAATTACTACCACTGGAGAGCTTGGGGATGGGGGACAGCTCCACCCCCAAATCTAAGTGTAGATCTGTAACACAGGCATGGCCATCCATATCGGATCCTGTAATCTAGGAGAATTCTGGTTTTAGAGTGACTGAACTCAGACTGGCTCGTGACCCGTGCCAGGCCGAGAAGAATCGCTCCTGGGACTTCCTCTTGAACTCTTGAGTGTTATGGAAGTTTGGGTTTCTTTAAAAACTCAGCTGTGTTCTGTAAATATGTGTTTTGTTTTAACCCCAAGAGGGGGATTATAGTTTGGGCTTTAGTCTGTCACAGTGGATAACTGTCTCAGGCAGGGCGTGGTCTCTGCCAGCTGGTAACTTCTGCAGGAAGAGGGCACGTTCTAGGACTCTGAGGAAGGGAAGTAGGGGAGCCCAGGGAGAGAGGGTGACGCAGTGGCACTTCAGTTTCACAGGTCAGTGCCCTCTCTCCCTCCTCGTTTGATAAGAGCAAGCGTCCTTGGTTCCAAACTTCTCCCAGAAGCTGCTGTGGGTAATATGGTGGAGCTCTGGACATGCCCTCTAAGGAGCTTACCTCCGGGAGAAGTAAGCCTGGATTGTTATAAGAGAATGGAGAATAAGAAGGAAGCGCTCCCTTAGCCACCAGCTGTCAGCAGCACGGAGGACTTAGGAGGTAGAAAGGAGCTGGGTGTGCATGGGTGAGGAGCTCCTGTAACTCGGGTTCCAGCACTTGGGAGACTTCAGGTCACTAGCCTGGGTGAGGTAAGGGTCTGTCTCAAAACAGTAAGACAAGGAGGGACATTCCAGGGAGTTAGGTGGATGGGGACAGTGGAAACATCTTGGAGGGGAAGGAGGCCTGTACTTCACAGTGGAGAACTGAGAGACTTTTTGAGGCCTAGCTTGTAGTTGGGTAGCCAGAATGACCCATATCTAACCTGTCTGATAAAAACAATGCTAGCCAATGAGAGAATGGCCTGGAATAGAAAGGGTTGCCATTGCAAAGAATAAAAAAGCGTACTTTACCAAATAAAATGCTTTTTCTGTTTTTAGGAAGGGTCTTAGTGTATAGTCCAAGCTGGCCTCAAAGTTCTGACCCGGCAGCCCTTCCCAGCCTTCCAAGTGTCAACTTAATTCATTCTTTAAAAAACAAACAAGCATTTAGGGGGACTGGAGAGATGGCTCAGAGGTTAAGAGTACTGGCTGCTCTTTCAAAGGTCCTGAGTTCAGTTCGCAGCAACCACATGGTGGCTCACAACCATCTATAGTGAGGTCTGGTGCCCTCTCCTGGTGCACAGGCATACATGTATAATAAATAAATCTTAAAAAAAAAAATAGGGCAGTATTCTGGTGTGCGTCATTAGTCCCAGCACTGAGGAGAAAGAGACAGGGTACCGTGAGTTGTACAGAACGAAGACTGTTTCAAACAAACAAATAAAAAAGAAATGCCTAGGAGGAGGCTTGGGTCTGGGGTGAGGGATTCCAAAAGGAGAGGCCACCTTGCAAAGACCTCAGGAGGAAAAGGAGTAGGAATGTGATTGGTCCAACACCTCAATGGAAGACGTAGACAGGCTCAGAATGTCCAACGCTTGACTGTCCCCTACCTGCCCACCCTTACTCTTTTTTGCTTAGTATCATGGCCCATAGACCTCGTGTCCCTCTTCACCCTGCCATAACTCCTGAGGATAAGCCACTGGAAGGCAGATTCCACCCAGAAACAGTGAAACACTGAGCTCAAAATCCTTTCACACTGCCCAGACCAGAGCACTCTGTAAGGCGGGCAGTGAGGAGAAACGTCTGCCACACTCTTGTAGAGGGTGGTATCACTGGCGCAGCATCTCACCAGCACGGCTAGGAGCATCCGAGTAACCCCCCGCCTCTGCCCATCTGTTCTATAGACGACAGTACTTCTGTGTGCGGTGATTGGGGGACAGGGGACGATGGTGACATAGGGGAAAAAATTGGTCCCTCCCAAGGAGCTAAGTCACAGTTTGGACCTGTGAGGAATCCCCAATGTATGTATACCTACCAACTCAAATGGGAAAATGTCCTGAGGCCTATAGGAAGACAGGCTGCGTGGGAGGGATGCTGGGCCCCAAGGAATACCTCAGGGATAACCTGGGTCTCTAGGGTCCTGTTGGCCAGGTGACTGATGCCAGAGGCCCTGAGCAGCCAGAACTGCTGTCACTCTCTGAAAAGTGGAGAGGGGAGAGAGAACCAGGCTATTGACTCTACAGCAACTGGGGTGAGCTGTCTTGACTCCTTCACGAAGGCCAAGCAAGCTGCAGCTCTCAGAGGAAAGCAAGCCTCCTTTTCCACTGCCACTTCCTCCTCCCAGAGCTCAGCTGTGTCAGCACCCACATGTGCTACTCAGAACGTGGTTTGCCACTTCTGTGGCCAGCCTAGGTCTCAGGAAGTGACTCTCTTTTGGGTTCTCTCTGGGTTGCCCGTCACACTTTCCGACGGCTGAGGGGCCCCAGCGGAAACCCAGACACCCAGACAGCTTGTCTTGGAGTGCTTCTGGGTACAGCTTTGCTCCCATCCACGGAGGGCTTTGAGAAATGAGAAGAAGCCTGGAGAGGCCACATGTGAGGTGGGAAAGAAGTGGGGGGGGGGGACAAAGGGGGAGTTGTGGGGAAAACAGGGACATGGGAGAGAGGTGATTATCCCAGAGTGTGGAGTGTGGAGTCCCAAACCCTGAGACCCAGGCTAGGTGGGAAGGGCTGTGCAGAGTGGTGCTGAGGCCTGAGGCAGATGGTGGTTTGAGAGCGCCCCTAATGGGCTGGGGTGTAGCCCAGGAGTAGAGTGCTTTGGCTGGTGTGTTCAGTGTTCCAGGTTAAATTCCCATCAACACACAAACTCTCTCTCACACACACACACTCACACATACACACACTCTCTCACACACACATACTCATACGTAAACTCTCATTCTCTCACACACACAAATGAAGAGAGTACCTCGCCCACCCCAGCAGCCTCCAGGCCGTGTAGAAAAGAGACCATGGGGAATTTGGCACTGGCTACAGGATTTCTTAAGACAGATGGGGTCTGGGTGGCTTCAATCAAGTCCTCAGAGCCCTAAGGAGCAATGATCCAGACAGTTAGGTTAGGCTTAAAATGGAAGCCACTGAGGCACACAGATCTGGAGGAGGTGCTGTAGGCTGTCTTGAAGGAGGTCTGTAGAAGGAGGAGGTAGCTGGCTATCCAGCCTGCCCCTCAGGATCTTTCCTGCCCCAGGGTGCCGTGCGAAGCTGCTGTCCTTGGACCTCAGTTCCTCTGATCTGCGCTTCACAGCCCCTCTCCTGGATCTGAGGCTGCAAAGACAGCGGGCTCCGAGGACAGCCCACCCTGTGGAGTTTTCCCTGCTCTCCCCGCCCCCAGCCCAGTGTGCAGCAAAGCCAGCAGGCTGCAGAAATCTCTGGAAGCTCCCCGGGCGGGAGAGGGTGGGGGATGTTACATAAGAGCCCCAGTGATGTGCAGGAAGTCGAAAACAGCCTTTAGATTCAAAAGGCAGCGTTCCCACCCAGCCCAGAGAGGCAGGAATAGAAACGGGTTATTTCTGGGCCCGCACCCCCACCCAGCGCCAGGCTGCTCAGCTTGCTGGGTTAGCCTGGCTTCTGCAGCCCCGGCGGGAGGGGGAGGGGAGGGGAAGGCAGGCACCTTCTGGGGTTACCTGATTCGGAACTGTCCTCGGCTACCCCCATCCCGACAAACCCGGGAACGCCAAGGAAGCAGCGGTGTCGCAGTGCCGGCTTCCCTCCATCTCTGGACGCGTTCGTCTTCCAAGCCCACCGCTCCCAGCACGCGCTTGCTCCGTGCTTGCAAGCTCGGAGCCTGCTGCCTCCCAGAGTCTGCCCTCACCGTGCCTGTGAGGTCGGTCTCCTTCTCAGCTTTAGTTCATTGATGGCGAAGGATGCATAGAGGGGGCAGGCGACTTGCTCAAGGTCGCAGAGCTGGTCAGAGGTAGAGCCAAGATTCTATTCCAGACGGTCTGGCCTCAGAACCCTTTGCCTAAACCTCGCCTCACACCATGAGCGGTTCTCCGGAGTCCCAGGCTTTCTCTATGTAGTGCCTGAGTAAGCTGGAGATAGAAGACAGACAGGCAAACAGGTCGTTTCCATCCATGTCATGTTGACTGCCCAAGCGTCATGTCGGCTCTGGGATAGAAAGAAGTAAGGAGACCCTCCTACCGGGCTCTTGCTGCTCCCCAGCCTAGTGGAGACAGATATGCAAAGAAGCGAGAGCAAGCTGGGTGTGGTGGCCCACTCCTGGAGTCCCTGCCCTCGGGAGGTCGGGGCAGGAGGAGCAGAAGCTCAAAGTCATCCTCAGCTACCCAGGGAATTTAAGGCTGGTCCAGGGAAACTCAGAACTCAGTTTCCCCCAGTCCAGGTCCAGAGGGCCATCATGGCAGTATGCGTGCCTTGAAGCTGACACTGGACATCCAGCTGGCTTTTGCTGACTGGAAATTTAAAAAGAATGAAAAGAGGAAACGCCAGCCTCAGCAGCAGCGTGACACATTCTCTCACGGGGGAAGCACTGTCGTCCTTGACCTAACTCCCACCTCCTCACGAACACCCCAGCCAGTCAAGAGTCAAGTTGCCATTTATAAAAAAAAAAAAAAAAAAAAAAAAAAAAAAATCACAAGAAGAGAATCATGAAGTGACACACGCCCACAGTCCCAGCGCAGAGACCGGAGGGTCTCCACAAACTTGATGTACAAAGCAAGACCCTGTCTCCGAAAACAAACCCGAACTTTCTAAGTAAGCGAAGGAAAAAAAAAGAATGAGAAGCACAAAGGGGTGAGCGGGGAGTCAAGGAGGGGACACAGGGTCCAGACAGGGCTTCCCGGGAGCATCAGCACACCTGCTGTCCCTGGGGCTCCCACGGCAGAAAGGCATTGAGCAAGATGGACCACCAAGTTCCCTGAGAGTCAGCTTAGCCCATAGGGCCATCTATGTCCCTTGGCATGGCCGTAGTATGGGAGACTCGGGGGGAGGGACCTGCCTGTCCCTCTTCCTTCTCCAGCCATCCTCCTATCAGCTCCCTCCATATGGGAGCGCGCTGGATTCCCTGTACCTTCAGGATAAGCTGTGCAGAAGCTGTGGTCCCTCAGCCCAGGAGAAGAGCTTCCTGAGCTCGGGTGGTTGCGCTGGCAAGTGGCCTGCTGGGAAGGGAGCCGCCGCCTTTAGGGTGTGCAGGGAGGGCTCTGCTGTGTAGACGGTTGCTGCTCCCACCAACAGGCAGATGGAGGGGGCTTTGGAACCTGGAGGACCCAGTCTCCCTCCAGCCCAGGGGCAGAGCGTTGTGTGTCAGTGTGCGTGCCCTCGAAGCTGACATGACTCACGGTAAAAACGCTTGCCTAGACAGAACACATGAGGTCCTACAGCTGATTCCTAACACTGTCAAAAAATTGTCTGGGAGGCAGAGGTAGGGAGATCTCTGTGAGTTCAAGGCCAGCCTGATCTACATAGTGTGTTCCAAGACAGAGAGACTGTGTCTCAAAAAAATTAAAAAAAAGGGTGTGTGTGTGTGTAAAATACTATATACGTAAAATTTACCATTTTAACCACCAATCACATTCACTACCAACACTTCCAGAACCCCTTAATGCTTCCAAACACAAATCCACGCCCATTATCTCTATCCCCTTCTCCCAGCCCGTGTAGCCCCCATCTCTATTACACACTTGACTCCTCTTGGAAGCTCAGATGAGATGAACACAGACTGTGTCGTCTTTGGTGTCTAACTTATTTCACGTGGCATGATGTTTTCATGAACCGTTCTTCTGTTCTTTCCTTTTGATTTTTCAGACAGGGTTTCTCTGTGTAGCTCTGGCTGTCCTGGAACTCTCGGTAGACCAGGCTGGCCTCGAACTCAGAAATCACTTGCCTCTGACGCCCGAGTGCTGGGATTTAAGTGCACCACCACACCTCGCTACTGTGGGCTGTTCCTATTGTAGCACCCCTGCACGAAGATCGAATCACGTGCCGAGTCATGTGTATTTCACATTTTCCGTGTCCGCTTATTTTAACATGGGAAGGGAGGTTTCCACTTAAATACTGTTTTTGTCTTAGGTGTATGAATGCTTTGCCTGCATGTATGTCCTTGTACCATGTGTGTGCCTGGTGCCTGTGGAGGTCAGAAGAGAGCATCTCAGATATCCTGGAAGAGGCGTGAGATAGCTGTGAACCACCATGTAAGTGGTAGGACTTGAACTCACAGCCCCTACAAGAGCAACAGGTGCTCTTGCCACTGGGCTTTCTCTCCCTCACCCCCTCTAGCCTGTGTTTTTTTTTTTTTTTTTTTTTCCTCCATGCTGAGAACATGGTTGTGCAAGTGTTGTGGATGCAGAATCTTACTGTACTGTGGTGATAGCCATGCGGCGCAGGTGACAGCCTGTGGCCCTGAGCCTGCGCCTCTCTGGATAGGCTTTCTGAGGTTGCGCTTGTTTTATTTTCTCACTATACAGTTCAGCCCAAATCTGCCCCCCCCCGTTTCTAACTGCTGAGCGCCGTTCCGGGGGCACACGGCCACACCCGAGGTCCTGGGCGGCTTTGCCTCCTGAGCCATGCCCACATACTCACTGAGGAAGTGCTGCTGCAGGGAAGGACCCGGGTCTCTTAGTGGGTGATTCGGGTCTCTGGGAGATTCTTTGTAGGAGTGAGTTGACAAGGGTTCCAGGCTCTTCTCCTGGGCTTTGGGTAGGTTTTCCACCATCCCCGAGCCTAGCCCCAGCATTCTTTCCCTGGTAACATCCACGCTGTCTCACTTTTCCTCTCCCAGGCTAAATATGGAGTGTGAAACTGCTCTTCTTCCCAATTTAGCATTTGAATTAAAGCGAGAACTGAATGTGGCTGGAATGCCGACTCCCATCTGTGTGTGAGAAAGGGTTTGCAGTCTGATGGGGAGATAGACTCCTAAAGAGGCACTAAGGGAATGAGCTGACGCGATGACAGCAGGAAGGACAGGTGTGACAGGGGCCCGGAGGGGACACCTGACAGCTTGGGGGTGACAGAATAACATCTGAGCTGAGACTTGTGCGCTTGTGGGAGCTGACCTAGTGAAGGGGGAGGGCTGGGGCACTTGGGCAGGAGGCGGCATCATGCAGTGATTTGGGTTGACATGGCTTCGGAAGAGCGCAAAGCAGGGAGGGTGGGGGATGGTGTGGCCCAAGAGCTTCCTCTGTCTCCAACTCACCCCTCTCATCCTCCTCTTCTTACCCTTCACCCGGGAGAACAAAGCAGATGAGAGTGACCTAGGCCAGAGACATTATTACATGATCACTTGCATTCTGTTTTTTGTTTTGTTTTGACAGAGTCTCTGTGGCCCTGCCTGGCTTGGAACTTGGAGTGATACTCCTGCCTCTTCTTCCTGGGGGCTAGGATCACAGTTTTTCTCTGTGATGCCCCACACGAGTGCCTTCTGCTCAGGCCACTCAGAAAGCGGACCTGGCAGGCCTGAAGTGGACATGGGACAGTAGGCTCTGGAGGGCATCATGGTAAATCATTTAGGGCCTTTGCTTGTTTTAGCCAAACCATCCTTCTCAGGGGCAGAGCTAAGTCAATCTCTCACATCCCTTCCTCTTGCTGAAATTGAGTCACGATTTTGGTTCAGATGGGATCGGGTGGAAATCTTGGCCAAAGAAAACCTTTTGTTGGCAATGTGAAAGGGCTCTCTGGAGGGTCATGCCCCTGCCGGGCACAGCTAAGGGATGCAGGTGTAAAACTCTCCATCAATATTTCAAGCAACATTATTTATTGATCACTTATCTGGCTGGGACAAAAGGAGAAGGTAGTTCACCACGGATACAGGCCTGCTGGGTTCAGTTTGGGAAAGAGGTCAGCGAAAGGCAGGTCATTGGCCAGGCTTCTCAATTCTACCAGGCCCAGCAAGGATACTTGGGAATTTGGGGTAGGGTGGAGTGGGGTGAGGGGTGAGGGGAGGGGTTTTGGTCTCTTCCAATTCCACAATATTCTGGATGAAAATAAAGGAAAAGGCTAGGGTTAGGGATGCCTGGAGCAGGCCTGAGATGCCGCTGTGACTAGGTCCAGGGGTCCAACAACCCCCAACTCTGCCCCTCCTCTCTCCCAACCCTGAAATCCGCTTCAGTGGGTACCTTCTCCCATCCACCCACCCGCAACAACTTTTCCATGTGTAATAGCCCTGGCTGGCCTGGAACTCACTTTGTAGACCAGACTGGCCTGGAACTCACAGAGATCCGCCTGCCTCTGCCCCCGGAGTGCTGGGATTAAAGGCGCGTGCCACCATGCTCGGCGTCAGTACGTTTCCCTTAGATGCTGCTTTGGAAGGGCAGCTTCGGTCCCTCCCGGAGGAAGCCTGACATTTCCCCTGCACTCAGAAACGTGCACATTCCTTCCCAGATTCTTGGAATCTGTCTGTCCACCTCCTGTTCAAAGTAGTGGGAGTGCATACAGATGGGGCTCTGACGGGTGGCTGGAGAACCCACAGCTGCCCATTCCTACCCTCAAAGACGCTTTTCCCCCACTTCAGTTTCCCATTCCATGGAGCAGAGTGTGCCGCGTCTGGCCTTCCGGCCCTGAGCCTTTGGAGAGACTGCTCTGCTAGCTGCTGGAATCCCACACTGGGAGGAGCTGCGCCACCTAGTGGACTTTTCGCCCTCTTGGCGGTAGAGCTCGCACAGACGCCACCTCCAGTTTATCGCTTGGGTAGGACCCAAACGGAAGCCGCTGTCCAGCTCTCAGGACTGACGAGACGCCCTTTTCTTCCTCAAGCCAGCCGTGAGTCGTAGAACCGAGAGGGAACAACTGTGGCGTTTTGGAGGGAAATTATCGCGCACTAGCTGAAATTTAAGTTAACGGGAAAGGTCTTTTTGACCCGGAAACAGCTTGTTCCTGTCATCCAGGATGTTGCAGATAGAGGGACCACTGTTTAGGGTCCTAACCTCCTCTGTCAGCCTTCTTGCAGGCTGAGCAAGGCTGAACTCAGCTCTGCTAATCACGGTAGAGCTGGCGCAGCCTAGAGGGAGCTGCTGGCTTTCCTCTGACGTCAGGGCCTGGAAATCCCATTTTAAGCAGGTTCTTGGGAGGTTGGAACACCCACAAGAAGGGAGGAGAAGCCAGATGAAGCAACTTCAGGCCTGAGGCCATCAGAGTCTGGAACACAGGCCTGCAGGGCTGCCTAATGTTCCCAGGAGACTTGGACACATGACACAGCGCTAGACCCTAGCCCTCAAGCTAAAGCCTCCCAGAGGCTCTTGAGAACCCTTTGATTTAGTGCCCTCCACTTAGCTCTAACGGACTTCTTCCCCTCTAGCCTGAGAAGATCTGAGGCAAAGGAGAGAGGGCAGGTGGACCTAGGGAATGAGGACAGCATGAGGTCTTTCAAACCAGGGAATCCCAACAGCAAACTTCTCCTGAAAGGCTTTCCAACTATTCTTTCTGTCACCCTCCATCTCTCCTCTCCTCCCCTGCATCACGGGGGGCAGGCCCTGTGCCCAGAGTTCTGGAAGCCTGAACGTTTCCATGGCAACAGAACAAAGAGCTTGGAAATCTGAACATACTCCTTTTGACACACACACACACACACACACACACACACACACACACACAACCCAGATGTATATATAATGGTCACGTGGCAGCTGGCAGTAGTCGTGACACCATTGTGTGTGTGTGTTATGCAGCAAATAAATACAATGTATACAGAATGCCTGACTTGTTTTCCTGGCTATATGTTAAGTGCTGGTGTGGTACTACAGCATTTTACTCTCTGAGGATCTTCTCAAATGACTCTCTTCCTTGACTGATACCTTCCTCTCCTTTCCGTTTTAAGAAAAGGAGCCAAATTCCTCAAGGGCTGTGCTGGCTAGTTTTTACATCAACCTGACACAGGCTAGGGCCATCTGAGAAGAGGAAATCTTGACGAGCTGCCTCCATGAGATAGGCAAACCTGTAGCGCACACTTTCTTAAGTGATGACAGACGTGGGAGAGCCCAGGTCGGGTGGTATGCCAAAGTGGACTGAACGACCCAGGAAGAGCAGGTCAGGGAGCACCGCTCCTCCGTGGCCTCTGCATCAGCTCCTGCCTCCAGATTCCTGCCTTGGGCCCTGCCCTGACTTCCCTCAGTGAGGGGGTGACCTGAGAGCTGTGAGATGAAATGAACCCTCTCCTTCCTTCTTTGCTTTTGGCAGTGGTGTTTACCACAGCAATGGAAACATAAGTTAGGGGCCAATGGCAAAAGGAATGCCTTCCAAGAGCTGCGTGACCAGAGGATCCCAGGCTGGGAAGAAGAGCCCCCTTTTATTTCTTCGTTATTTATTTGTCTATCACTTATTTACTGTTTGTTTGTTTTGTTTTTTTGAGACAGGGTTTCTCTGTATAGTCCTGGCTGTCCTGGAACTTACTCTGTGGACCAGGCTGAACTCAGAGAGCCTGTTTCTGCCTCCTGAGTACTGGGATTAAAGAGATGGGCCATCACCACCCAAAAGAGGGCTCTTATGTCCTCACATCTCCGCTCTGGGAGTTCTGATAGTTGGCTCAAGTATGGCAGGCACACCTGCCCTGTGATGCCAGAGAGGGAAGTCTAGCCTAGGGATACTTGCCCAGCTCAGGGAGTCAAGTCTAGGATGCTGCCCCCCTGGCCCCACCCCACTCTCTGTGATCTCTTTTCCTTTCAGACTGAGATGCTGCTGTTCCTCTGGGCCTCTTTCTTTCCCTATTGCTGCCTCTGCGGCTCTGCAATCTTAGATCCCTCCTGGGTTCTTGCCCTCGGAGCCGTCTCCTCACTATGTCTCACAGATTCTTCCACCTCTCAGCACTGCTCAGCAGTCAGGGCTCCACCTTTTCTGGTTCCACAATGTACCTCTGGTCCCAGGCTTTGGTGCCCTTTCTCACTTGTCTGTCCCCGAGACCTACAGGACTGGTTTGCCCACAAACCTTCCTTGACTCCACTCTTCCCTCAACCCACTCCAGCAGTCCTGGGCTTTGCTGCCCCATCTTCAGCTGTCGATAGCTCCACCCTCATCCTCTCCCTGGGCACCTCCCTGGGGTCCCTGTCCCTAGACTTTACACCTGGGATCGCCTGGGTGCTACTAAAGGACCCACAGAGGTCTTGGGGACGGGATTCCGGGGCGTAAACAGCTTATGGGGGTGAGGGCCCTTAAACCACTTCTTTCCTGGATGGGTCAATGCTCCTGTGTTCCACCTGGCCCTTTTCTAGCCCCCTTACAGCTGGGCCCTGCTTCTCGGTGAGGTCCCTCCCACTTACTGGCTTGGTGGGGCAGGAACAACGAGAAGAAACAATAAAGGAGATGCCAGTATTTAATTTATTGGCTCATCCAGTGCCAAGGTCCGGTGGGCACCATGGAATTGGGAGCCTCTTGGCTCCTGCCTTTCTTTCCCTTCTTCACAGGTTCTGCTTGGCCCTCAATGAAGCTGGCAGAACCAGGACCAGGGGTGGGGTCCAGGTTGGCTCTGACAGGGGTTTGCTTGGCACAGGAAGGGGACCCCATGGCAAAGTAGGATGGGTCCTCTTTATAGGAGAGGGAAGGAGCCATCTTGGCAGGGTCTCTACAGTGGACCCTGGGAGTAGAGGAATCCAGCTTAGGGGCATAAGTGTGTAAAAGTGATCAAGGATGGGAAGGGGAGGGGAGAGGTCTCTTGGAGCCTCATTCTGTCAAGGGATTGAGTCCTCTGAGGTTCAGAGACCAGCAGGAGTGAGTAAAGAGGAAGAAAGGCCAGGGCTGGGGTAGGGAGGTGAGCCAGCCTCCCCACCTCTCTTTTGGGGGGGGGGGTGTAGAGCACACAGCCCTACCAGCTGCAGTTCTGGCATAGCCATGTTGCTCCTTTAAAGCCAGAGTCTTCCACTCATAGTTGGGCCTGAGTAACACCCCGCCCCTCTCCCATACCTGCCCCACTTCTCCCCCTTCTCAAGGGCCCCCTCCCTGGTCTTTCTGGACTGTGGTGTGGCCAACCACTACCCCCATTCGAGGAAGAGCACTGGAGGCACGTCAGGCCTCAGAGAAGGGGGTGGTGCGGTCTTCAGCAAGGCACTGGATGGGCAGGGTGGGGGCTGGAGCAGCGAGAAGGGCAGCGCTGGCCAAGGAGCCCCAACCTCCGCGGGGGCTCAGTCCTCAACCTTACAGCTGCGCCTGCCTCCCTCTTTGCCAAGCCCCCTTGGGAGGGGTGCCCGTGGGGAGGGGGCACTGGAAACAGCCATTTAGGGGGTTCGAGGGTCTGAAACACTCGGGCTACAGCCCGCTGCGGAGGGGCTGGGACGGCAGTTCTTCCCAGTGCTACTGTCCTACAGATGGAGGGGGGGTGGGGGGGCGAGGACCTCAAGCGGAGTCACCCCCTCCAGAACTCTTCTTCTTGGGCCGGGTCTTCAGCGTCTTGGGAGCCAGTGGCTACGCAGAGAGGATGGCGGGACTCAGCCTGGCCCCACGGCAGCTTCCCCGTTTCCCCAGGCCGAGGCCTGCATTCTCACCTCAGCTTTGGGCACTTTTTTGATAGGCTTGGTCCTCTTGGGGGCCTTGTCTCCCAGGTCATCTTCTGAGGTCTCCATCCGGGGATCTGCCTGGCTTGTGCTAGCCCTTAGACTCAGGGCAGGGTCATCCCCTGGTTTGGGGGGAGGAAGCGAGAGTAAGGGCCCCGGGGGGTCTCTCTTGTCTGGTCTTTTCAGCTCTGGCCTCCTTCCCACAGCCCGGGGCCTGCCAGTACCTAAGTCCTCAATAGTGTCCAGGAGGGCCCCGGAGGCAGCTCGGAGACGGCCATCCGGCCCCTGCAGTGGCAGCGCGTCCTCGTCCCGGATGAGGGTCAGGTCTTGCATGCTGAAGCTCCGGAGCTTTTCGGACAGCACCCCCTGGCCCTAGGGTCACCACCACGCACCAGGAGCGCAGGGGGGAGGGGCGGGGTGGAGACAGAGGTTAGCGTGGTGTTTTTTGGGGTATTTTTCCCTTTGGTCAGATGAGGAAACTGACCAGGCGGTAGACAGAAACAGGGCCGGAGCCTGGAGCTGCACAGCTCAAAATCGCCAAGGCCCGAGGACAGGGCGGATGCCAAGGGGTCCGGACAGGACACAGGTGAACACGGTGGGGGCCCTGGGGTCTGGACCCATCCCCGTCTCACCTTGGCGGCAGCCGTGACCGCAGCGTTGGCAGCCAGGTTTAGGCCCCTCTTGCCCACCCTCATCATGGTCTCATAGCTCTTGTCTCGGGCTTGTGTGATATATTCGTCGATCTCCTGGGGAGCGGGGGAGGGATGAGAGACCCAAGAGGTGGGGCGGCAGGCAGAGACACTGCCTGCCCCAGGGAGCTAGGCTCTCCCAGGTCAGGCCAGGCTGGGAGGTGCGGGGGGGTTGGGAACAAACCTTTTCCTTGTTGGATAGCGTTGGGTGCACAAACTTGCGGTAGAGGACGCTGGAGCCCTTGGTGTAAGGCGACAACAGCCATATTACAAAGGCGATCTTGAGCTCAAAGTAGAAGGGGAACCTGTTGGAAGGACAGAGGTGCGCGCAGAGCACGAGTTAAGGGGAACACGGGGGCCTAGCAGCGCTGAGCCTGGACAGCTCCCATCTCTGGAGCCAGATGGTTTCCAGGAGACTGGGGGAGGGGGAGGGAAACCGCTAAAATGAGACTTCATGTAGGATGGTAAGAAGTGACCCCCTTTTGGGGTACATGCCTATAATCCCAGCACTTGGGAGACCGACCACGAACTGGTGGCCATTCTGGCCTACCTAAGACCCTATCTCAAAACAGACCTCAAAACAAAGGCCAAGCAAGGGGCACGTCCCTGAATCTCAGGTGCTGGGAGGCTGGAGGACCAGGAAGCGGGAGGACCAGGAGTTCAGGGCCAGCCTAGGGAACATGAGACCCTGTCTCAGAAAATAAAACAAAGCAAAAGAGATTCCAAGAGAAATTTCCCCAGGAAGCAGCTCTCCTTCCCCCTTCCTCTAAGTCCCCAAGTCTTTTCTTTCCAACTCCTCTGTGCTGAGGTCAAGTCTAAGGTGATCTCCCTGTCTTCCAGGTTCCTGCCTTCCTTCCATGAAGAGGACCAGGATGAAGTCTGGCTCTTGTTCCTAGCTGCCATAACAGGACCTCTTTTTTCCCCCCCAGAACTGGCGTCGTCAGTTGTGCTCGGCAATCTCTCTAGACTAAGTTATCTCCCCAGTCTTCTGACTTTTTATTTTTCACTAAGTTGCCTAGGCAGGTCTTGGATTTGTAATCTTCCTTCCACAGCCCCCCAAGAAGCTGGGTTTACTACTGTGCACAACCCACGGGTATGAACCACCATGCCTGGCTCCTTTTCCAGTTCATGCATGTGTGCGTACATGCATGTGTGTGTGTGTGTGTGTATGTGTGTGTGTGCACGCGCGTATGTGTGTGTACTTGAGTGTTGAGACCAGAGGTCAGCTACGGGTATTCTTTGCTCGCTGGCTCAGAGCCAGCAATTCCTAGTAAGTCACCTGCTTCTCAGCCTTGGGATCCCAAGCATACGCCATCATTTCCTTGAAATGTGGTTTCTGAAGACTGAAGTTGGGGCCTCATGTTTGCATGGTAAGTACTTTACCCATGGGCCATCTCTCTTTCTTGGCAGGGTTTTTCTGTGTAGCCTTAGCTGTCCTGGACTTTCTTGTAGACCAGGCTGGCCTTGAACTCATAGTAATCCACCTGCCTCTACCTCCCTGAGTGCTGGGATTAAAGGCGTGCCCCACCACCACCTTCAATATTCTTTAATTAATTTTTAATTAATTCTTTAATTATTTTTTTTTTCCTTAAAGCAGGGCTTACTGCTTAAAGCATTCCCTTACTGGGGGGAAGTGGGCAGAGGCAGGTGAGTTCCAGAACCATCAGGAAAAAAAAAACCTGTCTCATAAAAACAAATAAAAATAATATTTTTTTTCCTTGGGATGTAATCTCACTGTGTCACACAGTCTCCTGCTTCAGTGGCAGGCACTCAACTCCTTTGGCTTTTGAGGACGGCTCTCCACTTCCCACAGGCTTTTATGCTCGGGCAGCAACCTTCCTCAGGTCCTCCACATCCTCAGAGATCCCTCATCAAAGCTCCCTCCTTCACTTGTACCCAGGGAATCTAGACTTAGCACCCTGATCTTTTAATCTCTGATTGCTCTCGCTGTCAACACTACAGCTGGCAAACATCCGGGCTTTATCTACTACAAGTGAAATGAGATTTTTTTTTTCAATCTTTTAATTCTTTTATCTCTTGTTTAAAAATGTTTTTTTTTTTTTTTTTAAGTCAGGGACAATTTTTTTGGAGCTTAAAATCAGCAGCTTCCTAGAAGAAAAGAATGGAGACAGAGGAAGAAAGCCATGCCATTGAAGCCAGCATGGAGGTCAGATACTGGACTGACAAGCTAAGGATTAAGGAAAGCATGTTTAGAAAAGAGATGGCTGAGTGGTCAGGAACACTGGCTGCTTTCGAAGAGGACCTGAGTCCAGGTCCCAGAACCCACATGGCAGCTCGTAACTGTCTGTCACTCCAGCTCCAGGGGATCTGATACCCTCTTCTGGCCTCCTCTGGCCTCCTCTGGCACCAGGCACACAGACAATGAGCCTACACACACACACACACACACACACACACACACACACACACACACACAGGCAAAACATCCATGCACAGAAAACAAGTTTGTTTGTTTTTTAAGAGAAGGCTGAGGAATAGTGCAGTGTACCCCTGAAATCCTAATATTTGGGAGGCTGAGGCAGGAGGATCATTTCAGTTTTGAGGCCAGCCCAGCCAGGAATACATAGCGAAACTCTGTGTTGGGGAAGAGGGGAAGAAAGAAAGAAAAAAAAGAAAGAAAATGCTTTTCTGCATTAAAAAAAAAAAAAAAAAAAAAGCAAGCCGATTTACGAAGGTGCACGGCTGTGGTCAGTAAGCTACGGCCTCGTCTTAAAAACTGTAATTATGTATATGATGCACACGTGCGTGTGTGCTGGGTGGCCACGGTGCATGTGTGGGAGCCAGACCAGAGTATCTGGAGCTGGTTCTCTTCTGCTCTTCCGTGGCTTTCAGGGGTCAAACTCAGGTCATCAAGCTTGTGCCAAAAGAGCTTTGCTGACAGGCTGCCTTTCGGGGCCCCTGTCCTGAGATGATGTAGCCCAGGTTGGCCTCAAAACTGCAATGATATGCCCAGTGCTGGGATTACAAGTTCAAGTTCCACTTTACTGTTCAAGAGGTGTTTGTATCTGCTCACACAGTAACCAGTTCTAAGCAGATTCAGACATACTTTCTGTCCCAATAACGCTCCTACACTGTAGGTCTATTAGTGCCTGCAGTGCCTTGGAAATATAAGCATTCAGTGTCCACATGATTTACAATTGAAATACATGACTGCCCCACAAACAAGGCTTGGGGACTGGTGATCTGCCTATGGTCACAGGAAAGACTCAGGAGCAGATGCACACTCACTGAATTCCACTGTGGTGCTGTGGCTGTCACCAGAAAGAAATGTGGCAGTCCTGTCTGTTCTTGTTTGTTTGAGCTAGAATAGCCCCACCTGCCCCTGCCTCCCGGATTAAAGGCCCGGCTTGCTCTGTCTGTCCTCACTGTGCTGGTCAGATGAGAAGAGCAGTTTTAAGGGTGCTGACGGACTGTTGGGAGTTGGGGGTGGGGGTGCTGACTCTAGTCTGGGTCCTGAGATGAAAGGAGGGGACACGGAACCTCACCAGGACAGAATTATATCCGTAAGTGTCTCAGCTGTGGTGAAGAAGGCGAAGACGATCCAGTACATCATCCACTTCACCTGAGGGACAAAGGCCAGCATTAAGTGGACCAAGGTCCCCAGCTTGTCACTCCTCAGGCCAGAGCTAAGTCGAGGAAAACACAGGGTCCCACACCACTGCCTGCTCCATCCTGGAAGTCCTGGGAGAAAGAGATGCTCAGGACCGCACCTGCCAATCATGACACTCCTGGGTAGGGGGTGGGAACATCCCAGAACCTCTTTTGCCCAGGGTCTTGTTGGATAGTGTGGCACAGAGCCACACCCTACCCCCCATCTGGACTGTGACAAATGCAGCCCCCACGTGCTGGTTAAACGGGGGTCCGATCATTCACTCACATATTCCTTCACGTTTTTGGTCTTCACAGCCTTGTAGGAAGAATAGGCTGGGTACAGGGTGCCAAAGATGAGCCTAGGGAAGCAGGCATGGTTACTGGGTCATTCTCCCTTCAAGCTCTATACCAGCCCCTCAGTGGCTAAGGGGCAAAGGGTCAGAATTCCAAGCTGGCTGAGGAGCTCTGGTCAAGGATTAAGATCAAAGCCTTCAGGGGCATTAATCAGCCTGGGTAAGTGAGATCCTGTCCCTAGCCATTGCTCATCCCTTTAGCCCTTGACAAAAGGAAAAGACCCAGAGACCAGAAGGTCCAAAGTGGTCCCTCCGGCCAGGATCCTTGGCTATGCACAAGCATGTTATGGGAGTTGAGAGGCCTGGTCACCACCATGAGATGTCTTCCTTCTTGGCCTATTCAACTCATCTGTTCATACTCCCATACTCGCCATCTTTTTGTCTGAGACATGCTGGGTAGGGCCAGTTCCCCCAAGGGAACCTAACATCACCCAACAGGGCATCCAGCCTAGCAGTTAGAGAACTACTGTGGCTCTAGGGCCAGTGGGCACAGGTGTGGGAGGCCCTGGAAGAGACCAAAGATTTATAACCCCAATGTCAGCATGGTCCAGGGGCAGGCACAGAAGACCTGGGCCTAAGGCCCTGAGCTCCCACTACAGATTATAGAAAGGACCCAGATGGGAAAGAGAGTCATATACTGAAGGGAGAGTCATATAGAGAAGGGAGTGTGCATAGGCCAGAAGAGAAGTAGCCAAACTGAGCACCACTTGGGAGAGATAAGGCCTCCAGGGGGTGGGAAGAGGAAACTCCAGTGGGTTGAGAGGAAACCAGGACACAAGCATGTGACAACATTTAGTGGGAAGAAGGGTGGAGCTGCTGAGATGCCAGTCCTGACGGGGCACGAGGGCAGAGCCCTAAACCAGGGGAAGGGCTGGCACCTTCAAGCGTGGGAGATGCCTTGCCAAGACAGGACACCCACTCCCTGTGCTGCTGATGTTGGATAGCGGGGCAGAATCCTCAAGGCCAAAATCCAGGCTTGTGTGTGTTTGGGGGAGGGAGGTATTTGTTCCTGTGTCTGGGGGAGGCGCCAGGGCCACAGCTCCACAATGTGACTGGAATCAAGGCCACCAAATGTTCTCCCAGTGGCTTTCACAATCCTAGGCAGATAATATACCTCCTTTCTGTTGTTACCTCCCGACTCTGCCCTCCCAGCACCTCGGCTTCCATGCTCCCCCCCCCCCCCCCCCCCCCCCCCCCCCCGGCTTCCTTGCCCCCCCCCCCCCCCATCCCGCCTTCCTTCCTGGATGCCTTGCGACAGGTATCCTCACCCTGTCTCCAGTCAGAAGCGGGAGAAAGGCCTGAGATCTTTGGGGAGTCCCTAGGGAATGCGCTGTGGATCTGAGCCCCGGAATCATGAGGACCCTGTCACACTCTCCACTCAGTCTCTTCCTGGAGGGTAAGGACGGTCTTGTATACTGGGCTCCTGCAGCCTAGATCTGCTCGGTGGGGGAGGGGATGCGCCCGTCACCCCTTATAAATCAGTAGCTGCTCAGCCTTTAGGGTGGGGGAGGGCGCAGGAGCAAGGCAATTCAGAATAAACGGGTTTTAAAAATAATATGGGCGAGGTCCCTGGGAGACCAGGCCTGCCATGCGCCCCTTCCTGTCGTCAGTGCCACAGCTCCGTCTCTGGGGACACCACATAGGGACCCTGGGCTAATCCATCCCAGGCTTGAATACCGCGCCCTCCATCACCGCCCCCTTCGCCCCCCACCCCGGCCGAGCCCCGCTGCTGCCTCCGCACTCACACCACCAGGCGAGAGATGATCCAGGACACCATGGCGGGGCGGGGACCCAGCCCGGGCGAGGATGCGGCTGCCCAGGCCGGCGGCGGAGGCAGCGGGAGCTGCAGTTAGCAGCGGCAGCCGCCGTAGGGTCAGCGGAGCGCGGAGTTACCGCCGTTAAAGGGGAGGTCCCTGCCGCAGCGGCGGACCGTGGGCGGCGGCGGCTCTTAAAGGGGAGGCCGCGGTGTCGGTGCCGCCCCCCCAGCACCTGCTGTGGCTGGGCATGCGCCTTCACTCTGAGCGCCCAACCTTCCTCTAAGTCGTTTTGTTCACTTTCCTTGAGCTTCAAGTTGGAGGCCACGGACCTGGCGGGGACCCTTTTGGTTCCATCCTTTGACATCAGCTTTGGCCCACCTCCCGCCCGGCCCACATCAGGTTGAAGGCTTAAATATCCCAGGAGCAAGGGCTGCTTTGCTTAGAGCGTCGTGTGTTATTTCATGAATCCTCACTACTACTCTATAGGGCAGTTATAATTACACTCATCTTGCAGATGGGGGTTATTGGTCACTACTATGCTGATGATCACAAAACCATTGAATCATACTTGTCACGACATGAACCGAAGACATTTATTAGGCGATATCCTCCAAACACTAACCATCAAACCTGCCTCCTCGTTAAGAGCTACGTAAGGATGTCCACCTGGGCTCCTGAGGCCATGTACAGCTGCATCTATCCACTCCAGTCCTCGGCAATAACTACCAATTCCCAGTTTGAGGGGATGCTTTGATCTGACTTTTTGGTGGTAAACTGAGCTGGGGTTAGGGAACATGTGAAATTTAATTTGTGTGTGGAGGGAGGAGTGAGTCTCAAGTCAGTGCAAAAAGCCCAGAGACTTCAGTTCCACCCCCATCAGCCAGTAACACTGGTAGAGGATGACCTAATTCTGACGACATTTATATCCAAAATGTAGGCTAGCCCGCCTCCTGATTTTCACCAAAGCATCCCTCCTTCACTGCCCTCTTTCCCTGTCCCATTTTAAAGTTGCTGTATCCTGGCGCCTTTATGTTGAGGTACAATCCTTTTGGTGGCCACTGTTAACTTGTTCTGGTCAGGCTGAAAGGACATGCCCACAGTCTGTATTTCAAAGAATCATGGTCTTGTTCAAACCTGGTGTCCTTGAACAACACAAGTGGTCTCTTTCTAGCCTGATAATTACGTTTTTAGGTCCAAATGCTTTGGAAGGTGTTTTCAAAGGTTTCAGGGAAGCAGGTCTTTAGGGACCCCTCTTGACTGTCTTTACAGCTTCCTTCCCAAAAGGTCTCTTTTAATCAGAATGTGGTCTCTCCTTACCCAGCAAACACACTTTACCTTTACTTAATAAAAACAAATCCCCACTTGCAGTCTTCATTTTGAGGGACCTAGGGCCACACACTGCGCTGGCCTTGCCTGGAGCTTTGTTCAGGCTGCACATTAAGGCACTTTTCTCTAATCCTGCACCCTAGAGGGAGGACCCTACTCATGTCATTTTGTCTGCTGAGCATAAACTATGAGAAAAACCCCTCTCTGCACCCAACAGCTTCCTTGGTTCTTCGCCTACTGTTGTTCTTTCTCCTAACTGAGCACTTCAAACAACCAAGCGCAATGACCAGATCCACAGCAGTCAAAAGGCTGACATCAACTCCCATCTCTAACAGCCCAGTGTGGTCTTGACTTTAAAAAGGTTGGAACAGAAAGAATTGTGTCTACTCCAAACAGATTTGTTAGATTTTTTTAATAAGAACATGGAAATCCCAATCAGCCCTTCAATAAAATTAAAATACAGAAAGTGAAATTAAAAGTATTCTACAGTAAATGACTTTTATTTAAAAAAAAAAAAAAGGAAGAAAAAAGAAAGTAACTGTGAACATATAAACAAGGCTGCAGGGCAGTACACCTGGAAAGAGATACATTTTCCAATGTACCTGTGGGCCAATGAATTCCATCATTTCCAAGTAAATTCTTAATAAAAACTCCAGAGTTGTAAAGTTTTGCTGAAAATATTTCCAGACAAAACTCCAAAAAAAACAAAACAAAACCCTCTTATATTGGAAATCAGAATTTCCACCCCATTTGGAAACATACAAGGAGTCCCAAGGGAACGCTGGTAATTGGTGAAAACGGCTCCTGGAGTCAGCAGTGTGCACGCAGGGAACACGCCACAGCTCAGACATGGCACAGTTCTTTCTCAGATGACTGCTTCCTCAAGATAAGACTGAGAGGGACAGGAGAAACTAAAAGAATTCTAATCAAAAGCCAATTCTTTTAAATTACACTTTGGCTGATTTTGTGCTATAAGGGGTAGCTGATTTCTAAAAATCATATTTCTTTTCAAAGAGTTTTATTGAAAGGAAGACTAAATGTAATGTGCCTTTCCTCATAGTTCAGGAAAACAACTGTGTTATTTCAAAAGTTCTAAAAATATCTACTTTCATGAAATAGTAACTATTTCACTACAAACCTATTTTTCACTAAATACACACGTTTCCTAATCCTGAAGCCTCCTGGGAAAAGCAGTGGGCTCTCCCTAGGCCCTGAAGACTCCAGTGTTCTGGAGAGTATGGGAATGGCTGCACCCTGTCTCTTAGGATGGGCCAGGTCAGAGGTTATGTGCAGAGACACTGCCAGGCTTCCGGCAGGCACATTAAGTCATCACCTCACTTTACCAGTTATGAATTCCCCTGCCTCTATACACATTCCCACTTCGGTAGGCACAAGAGGAACAGAAAAGGAAGGTGTGCCCACATTCCTGGCTTCCATGGTCTCAAGCCAGGAGAATGTGCAGGAAAGCCCAGCGATGTTCAAGCAACCTGGATTCCCAAAAGGCCACTGGATGGGAGTGTGGCACCCTCGGCTTCGAGTCTGAAACTGTGTGTGTGAACAGTGCGGCTTTCTTGTGTCAACCTTCAGTGTTGAGGCAGCATAGAAAGAGTGGCTGGAGAGTTTGTAATACTGACCACACTGGCTTGGGGAAGGGCCTCTGCTAATGCAGAGATCCCTGCCGTTCCCTGCTAAGTGTTGTGAAAGGCCTGCTTCACAGGAGAGCTGAAGTTCCCCATGCTTTAAGACCTTGCCAGTTTGGATTCGTGGGCCTTCAGAGTGCCAACAGCATCTTTCACTGCGTGGTATATGATGTTCTTCACCTGGAGAGCAATGAGCACTGTCAGTTCATGGCAGCTCACAAATGCAGATCTATGTCCCTCCAACAACAAACTTCCTGAAAAGCTAGTGGACACATGCAAGCAGTAACCATGCGCTTTCCAAACGAAGCTCTAAACGACTTACAAGCCAGGCAGGGTATTAGGTCCACACTTGAGAAAAAATGATGAAGTCACTGGAAGGCCAGCATTACACCTGTGCAGCTGATGTTGCTAGTATATTGTTTTTAGAATTACATTTACATATGTGCATTTACACATTGAGTACCACAGCAAATGTAGACGTCAGAAGACAACTTCTGGGAGCTGGCTCTCTCCTTCACTATCTTCGTTCTAAGAATCGGACCAGGTTATTAGGCTTGGTAACAAGTGCCTTTACTTGCTAAGCTATTTTGCTGTTTTTATTTATTTATTATTTTAAAAGATGATTAGTTTTAATTTCATTGAATTGCATGTCTGCATGCCTACATACATGAGCCAAGGCTTGTAAAGGCCAGGGGGAGAGTACCAAATCTCCTGGGACTGGAGTTACAGGCAGTTCCAAGTCCTGGAAACCAAACCCATGTTCTTTGGGACAACAGAGTATGTTTTTATTGTTGTTTATTTGTTTTTTTGAGACAGGTTTCTCTGTGTAGCTGTGGCTATGCTGTAACCTTGCTCGGTAGACCAGGCTGGCCTCGAATGCACAGAGATCCTCCTGCCTCTGTTTTCTGAGTTTGTGCATCCCCACAACTGGCTGCTTGTACTCTTAGTTCTGAGCCATTCCTGCAGCCCAGACACTACAGAAAAGGCTGTAAGGGGGCTACAGAGTTGGCTCAGTGGTTAAGGGGACAGCCTGTTCTAGAACACCCTCAGTACCAGAACTCCGGCTCCAGAGAACGCAATGTCTTCTGGCCTCTACCTGCACACACATGCACATAACAATAATAATTTTAAAAAGGTATTAAGAGTAAAGACAGTCTTCCAGTTGAGACCTAAAAGAGGTAGGTTATAAAATAGGTACATTAAGATAGTTTCTGTATTAATGTGATTATGTTTGTATAAGAATGCTCATCTGTACCAATCTACAGAATAAGGAGCACATTGCTTGAGGCCCTGCACAGGGCCAAGTTCAAGTTTCCTGACCACCAGAAGATCCCCCTGTCAAAGTGTGGCTTCACCAAATTTAATGCAGATGAACCCGAGGATGTGGGAGCTGAAAGCTGCTCATCTCCAAAGGTTTTACTGTGTTCCCTGGACAAGTGCAGGCTTGCCTCCTGTGAAGCCTTCCACTGCGATTAAGGATGAATCCCTTATACTATCAATGGTGCTTATTAATAAACCTCATAGCCAATTAAAAAAAGGAACTTTTGAATAGCTTGGACCTAGTGGCACAGGCTTATAATTCTAGCTAGCTCCTCCTGACACTTGAAGCAGAAGGATCACAAGTTCTAAGTCAGCCTGGGCTATGGAGAGTTCAAGGGCAGTTGGGACAACTTAGCAAGAACCTGCTTTGAATTTAGTCTGGTGTGGCTCAGTAGTGGAGTGCCTGCCCACTATGTCCACCGCCCTATATTCAGGCCCCAGCACTGAAAAAAATGTACAAATAAGTACCTTCCTTCCCAAATAAAAACCTCCACAATATTATAGCATTCTCCCCGGGCCAGAAATGTAAGTCTACTTAGTTATCAACACTAAAAAAATTCCCAAGGACAGAGAAATGGAATCATTAACTGCATTGGAAATGAGTAGATTAAAAGACCCCTTAGCACACCCAACACATGGTCTCACTCAAGAAGCCCAGGTTTGTCTGGAACTTGTGATACTTGTCTACTTCAGCTAGGTTATACGCATCAATTAAGATGAGTAGGTAATAAGTTCCTGTAGAGAAGCTGGAAATAGTAGGGTCAGAAGTTCAAGGACAGGGGCTATGGCTGGGATACAAAATAAATAACCTGTGATTAATATAAAAAAAAAAAAGTTCAAGGACAGCCTGGGCTATTTGAGAGAGTGTTTAAAAAACAAAGCAACACCCCAAACAAACAAACAAACCCACAACGGAAATGGTTAGGTATTTGTTCCTGAAAGGAAGCCTTTATACGTCCAGACAGCTTCCCACAGCTATTTCTTTACCAGAAAATGCTATGAGAACGCGTCTTCTGACTTAGATGGAAGAGGGTTGTGAAGGGGACAGGGCTTACCTGCAGCTTATCCTCATGGTTCGTGTGAGTGTTGGAGAGGTGCCTGAACTCCTGGGTCAGGCGGAAGCAGTGTTTCACGTGCTCTGGGGAGACGAAGTCCTCTGCTACCTTTATGCAACTGTACAGATTGTGAACCTGGGCGGGGCACAGCGGGAGGGCGAGGACATTAGGCTCGGTGACGCACAGCCCAACGCCTTCTTCTTCCTCCTTTCTCTTTCTTTTCTTGGTGATTTGGAACAGCCTTGGCTGGCCTGGACTTGCTCTGTAGACTAGGCTGGTCTCAGAAGTCACAGAGCTCCACCTGCCTCTACCTCCCAGGGTGCTGGGGTTAAAGGTGTGTGTCACCACGCCCAGCTTCTTTCTTTCTTTTTTTGGTGAGACTTGTTATGTCACCCATAGTGGTTTTGAACTCTCAGGTATAAGCAATCCTCTAGTCCACAGCACATGCCATTGTGTTCTGCTAAAACTATAGAAACACTATTGAGTGCAAATTTAAAAATAAGGGCTGGTAAGATGGAGATAGTTCAGCAGCTATATGTGCTTGATACCCAACCTGGTATTCCGAGTTTGATACACAGATCCCAATGGTGGGAGGAGAAAATTTCCTTTAATTTCCCTCTGTCCTCCACATAGACACACAAAAAACAATTTTAAATAGGCTGAGTATGATAGTACATGCTTTTAATCTTTAATTCTAGTACAAGGCAGAAGCAGGCTGATCTCTGAGTTGGAGACTTGCCTGGTCTCCAAAACCAAAACAAAAAAGCAAGTATTTAAAGATACAAAAAAATAAAACGAAAAATTAGCAAGTCCTGATGTTAGAGCAAACAGTGTAACCCTGCATTTCCAGCTAGAGTAGAGAGAGACGCAAACAGCAAAGCCTATGAGATGTGGAAATAGTCTCAACCGCAACACACCTGGTGAGGGGCTCCAGCAGGTATGAAGACAGCATCACCCAGGAACTGCACAATGGCCCAGCCTTGCACACCATACTCCTCAAAGAGTCGCTTTCGGAGGATCTGGTCCAGATACCAACTTTGGTCATGAATTGGGTCATGATCAGGGGGATTCTCTTGGCCTTGTTCTTCTCCAACCTGAAGTCATGATCAAAATCCCCAAAATGGAAGAATTAATATAGTAGCCTTTCCTTACCCACAGCCAGCCCTGCTCTAAACACACCGCACAGAAAAGTCAGAAAGGCTGCAAAAATGTAAGATTGTATGGTATTATTATGGGGTGTGGAAGACGCTCCCACTGCCCAGCTTCCCCTTCCACTAGACATGTCTTGTGCTTGTTTAGGACAGCTGTCTGTCTAAGCTCTAGCATTTATCACTTAATAACTGTTCCAGTTCAGATGGCTGCAAAAGTTTCAGAGAACATGTACTCTTTATGTAATAATTGCTTTCAAAGCAGGGTGCGCTAGCACATGCCCTTTGGGAAGCAGAGGCAGGTAGATTTCTGTGTGTTTGAGGCCAGCCTGGTCTACAAAACAAGTCCAGAATAGCCAAGGCTACACAGAGAAACCCTGTCTCAAAAAAAACAAAACAAGGGCTGGAGAGATGGCTCAGAGGTTAAGAGCACTGTCTGTTCTTTCAAAGTTCCTGAGTTCAATTTCCAGTAACCATATGGTGGCTCACAACCATCTATACTAAGATTGGTGTCCTCTTCTTGCCTGCAGGCACAAATGCAGTACAGAATACTGTATAAATAAATACATGTTTAAAATAAAACAAAACAAAAATTACTCCAAAAGACAAAAGCGTGATCACAAACTTGAAGATCCCCAATGAGTCAGTTGTGGTGGAGCACATTGGAAGAGTTTGCTGAAGGAGGCAGAGGCAGGAGAATCACAAGTTTGAGAACAGCCTAGGCCATACACAGCCATGCAGTGGTGGCGGATACCTTTAATCCCAAAACTTGAAAGGCAGAGGCAGGTGGATCTCTGAGTTCAAGGTTCAAGGCCAGCCTGGTCTAAAGATTGAGTTCCAGGACAGCCAAGGCTACACAGAGAAACCCTGTCTCAAAAAAACAAAACAAAACAAAACAAAACACAAAACCAACCAACCAACCAACCCCTCCCCAAATAGTCTGTTTATTATGTTGCAGTACTACTGTTATTCTTTTATTGTACCTTATGTACCATTATGCACGTATAGGAAAAAATATGTATGACAGACACCAGGGGGTCATAAAATATTACTTATTGTGTCTGAGCTCAGGACTCTAGAGCATTTTGAAAAAAGGCTTCTTGGCTAACAGTCCTTCTTTCTCTTTCCTTCCTCACAGAGATGAGGAGCCCTATGCACGATAGGTAAGCACTCTTACCTACAAACCCAGCTTGCTTTTTTTTCCTCCCGAGACAGGAGTTCTCTGTGTAAAAGCCCTGGCTGTCCTGGACTCACTTTGTTGACCAGGATGGCCTCACAGAGATCCACCTGCCTCTGCCTCCCAAGTGCTGGGATTGAAGGCTTGCGCCACTAGGCACAGGCAAAATTTATGTATTTTATGTGCATGTGTGCTCTACTTGCATATACTACTGTATGCCAAAAGAGGACATGGGATTCCATTATAGATAGTTGTGACACTGGAGAAATGGCTCAGAGGCTAAGAGCACTCACTGGCTACTCCTTCAGAGGAAGTGCCACCAAATAGTTGCTGGGAATTGAACTCAGGACCTTTGGAAGAACAGCCAATGCTCTTAACTGCTAAGCCAGTTTTTCCAACCCTTTTTTTGTTTGTTTGTTCTTTTTTTAAAATACTTTTTTTTTTAAATGTGTATGAGTGATGTAAGCCTGTATGGCACATGTGTTAAGAAGTTTTACAAAGGCCCAAGAACCTTCATGCGAAGGTGACTCATAAAACTAAACCTGGGCCCCCTGCAAGATTAGCAAGTACTTTTTTTTTTTTTTTTTTTAAACTTTATTTACCTTTGCTTTATGTTCACTGGTGTTTTGCCTGCATGTATGTCTATGTGAGTGTCAGATTTTGGAGTTACAGACAGTTGTGAGCTATAATATAGGTACTGGTCCTCTGAAAGGACAGTCTATACCCTTAACCACTGAGCCATCTCTCCAGCCTCTGGCTTTTTTTTTTTTTTTTTTTTTTTAAGACAGGGACTCTTTATGTAGCCCAGGTTGGCCTCTAATTGTGATCTTTTTGACAACAGCACCCAAGTACTGGAATTACAGGCATACGCTACCATGCCATTTACCAGTAAGAGACCTTGGTGTCTGTCAAGACCACAGCCAGGAGCTGGAGCAATCCTGCCCAGCAGGAGGCATACCTTCCGGAGCAGCTCCCTGATCTTCTCTGCATCCTTGGCTGCATAAATGTGCCATAAAGCCCCTGGCTTCTCTTTCCCATCATGAATCCTCTGCTTGGTCACCTCATCAGCATCTCCCTCATCAATCGTTTTGAGTACTTCTGAAAAGAACAAAGTGGTGATGTCAAAGTAACCAGTCTGACCAGTAAAACCACGTATAATTAAGTAAGTTTGCTCTCCATTCTTCTATCTCTAGCAATATCAAAGAATCAAGAATCAAAATTTGCTAGACATGGTGGTATACACCTTTAATCCCAGCTCTTGAGGCAGAGGTAGGCATATCTCTGTGAGTTTGAGGTCAGCCTGGTCTACATATGGAATTCTAAAAAAAAAAGAGAGAGACCCTGTTTAATAATAAAATCAAAATGAATATCAGGGCTGGTGAGGTGACTCATAAAATAAAGGCAAGGGCTGCCATGTCTGATGACTTCAGTTGGGTCCCAGAGACCCACTTGGTAAAAGCAACAGGTTCTTATTAATATGTAGCCTTGGCTGGCCTGGAACTCTCTTAGTAGACCAGGCTGGTCCTAAACTCTCAGAGATCCACCTGACCCTGCCTCCGGGCTTCTTTTTCTTTTCTTTTCTTCTTTCTTTTTTTGAGACAGGGTTTCTCTGTGTAGCCTTGGCTGCCTTGGACTCATTCTGTAGACCAGGCTGGCCTCTAACTCAGAGATCCACCTGCCTCTGCCTCCCTGAGTGTTAGGATTATACATGTGCACCATTGCACATGGCTAAAAATGTATTTATTTTTATTTGTTTACTTGTGTATGAGTTCACGTGTACCACATGCATGCAGTGTCTGGGGAGGCCAGAGAGCATCACATTCCTTAAAGCTGGAGTCACAGGAGGTTTGTTAGCCTCTTGCTGGGGGGTGCTGGGGCAGAGCACTCTTAACCACTGCACCATGGCACAGGCCTCTGCCCTCTCCTGGCTGGGCTATATAGTTGGTAGAAAGAGAGAGCACTCCCTGAAGGGCAGCACTCTGCTCAACATCCCCTTGTCTAAGAATGGCCCCCAGGTGCCAACTGCACATGAAGTGTGGAATGAACTTAAGAAAAAGCCACTGTATTTAACCAAGGAGAAGCAGCCAGTTACTACACTTCTTAGGGCAAGCCAGACTACAGCTATTTCTCTAGAAACCACACCTTCATCGTGAGCACCTTCCCCGATAGGGATCCCAACATAGACCATCACATTAACTGCATCGGACACATCTAAATGAAGATTTGTTGTACCAACTCTTCTGTCTTCTGCTGTTATCAAGCCTAAAGGTGGGAGGAAAATATGAAAGGTAAAGGGGTGAAATTCCAAAGGACCCATGTAAACCCTGAAAATATGCCCAAGGCCGTGCTTGAATAAGCAACCCTGGGAGAGGGAGATGTGTGTGTGTCTGTCAAGAAGTCAGCTTTGTGGGAGAATGCTTGGCTAAGGTGCCTCAAGTTCAATCTCCAGCACTTCAGGGAGGCAGGACACACAGAAGAGGAGGAAGAGGTTGGGGAGGTGAGAAGAGAGAAAGTGAGTCAAAGCATTCTCCTTTATCTTGTATACAGTTTAAGACTAATTCCTAGCTTGATCTACATATCATCAGCATTCATCAAGCCACTTCTTGAAAATGGTCCCTTTCTTGAAATTCCAAACATTACAGACATTCAGACAGAATTCACCTTTCACAGTACTAGGTCACTTTTAAGAGAATACAAGCCTGATCACAAGGTATTTGGTATTCTTCAGTCTTAGTAAAACTAAAGAATAAAACTAAGAACATGTCTGCTTGAGTAAATATGCAAACTTATGAATGTTACACAAATCAATACCGACAAAGGAAACACGTTCAAAATCACCTGTCACCTGCCCCATCATCTCTCTATATAAAATGAGAACAGCAGTCCCCCAAAGGGGCAACTCTGTCCTCTCCCTCATACCATAGGCGTTGTACATCTTGGGGCCCAGATCAGGCCTTACAAAGTAGCTGGGTAGCCTAGAAGCCAGATTGAGCCTGCCATCTCGTTTGGTATATTCTGGCAGAGGAAGATTCTCCATCAGATCTTCAAACCTAAGAAAGGGCAGGAAAGATGACTCAGTTTGCTCCAGGGAGGAGAAAGAAATCAAGTTCACATCTCTGTGACTATGCTGTGCTGGCTTCTGCCAGGCACAAGCCTCCGAGAATGGCATTATCTGAAATCACTCACCTTGTTGGCATCATGTCCCGAAAGTCTTCCCCAGGGGGCCAGTCCTTGAGTTTGAGCACCATTGGCTGCCCATCTTCCGACCGTAGTCTCTCTAGAAGACAGACAGCATTCTCATAATCCCCTATTACTTAATCTTCTAGGGACTGAGTCTCAGGAGATACAACCTCCTGGTTCATAAAGGACCAGGTGAGGAGGGCTTTGTTTTTTTTCCCACCCACTACTGCAATCTGAGTCACATCTCTCCATCTCACAGGATTCCTGCTCCCCCTCCTCAGAGCAAGAGAGCTCCCTATAACCTAAGTCTTAACACAAAGCGCAGGCCTGCTCTGGGATAACAGGACTGCCATGCAGCTGTACACAGCTGGCATCGAGACAGAAGGGCCTCCCTCCAAGAGGATATGGTGCAGGACTGAGTATTTAGATGCTTATTACCCACCCTGTCATCACATAACCGGTCAACAAAGTTACTTACTGCATATAATCTCAAAACCATCCCAGAAATCCCGAACTTTGACATCAGAAATTATAGCGCAGTTCCTGCAGTTCACCAAGTCCACATCCTGGTCTCCAAATTCCTGGCTAAAGGCTTCTGGCTTCCAGAGCTCAGATTTGAGCTTTTTATGTACCCCTGAAACTAGCACTGGCTGTGAAAACAAAGATAACATCCAATCAGAACCATTTAGAAAACATTTCTCCAGTTTATAATCCACAGATTCCCGTACATTAACTACAGAGAATGAGACTGCCTCTGCTCTATTGTTATGCTGTGTTCTCACTCTGAGGGACATTCCCTTAAGATATTTTTCTTACTGGGTATGTATTAGTGTTTTGAGGTAAGGAGACATTACCGGCAAATACAGCTTTGAGAATATTTCCTCACAATACAAATGCAAACAGAGAAACTCCACATGCTCCTCGCTCCTGAGGTACCGTCACTTATCACACGCACCACTAAGGACTCAGTATTTACCTGTCACTCCAGCTCACACCTTCACCCTACCCAGCACTACACTCGCGGAGCCTCCTCCAAAGCTGTCATCCAGGGCGGCTCAGTGTAGGAGAGCCTTACAAATACAACGCACGGCCTCACATTGAAAGACACACAGAGCGTTCTGAGGGAGCTCCTTGATTTTAAAAAGCAAAGTCAACTTGAAATAACAAGTTGAATTTACTGTGTATGTCTTTCTGGCAGAAGATCTTGCAGACAGGCCTGCAAAGAACCCAGCAACTTAGTTTGCTTACCTGGCCTTGCTTCCAGCATTCTCGGAAGATCTTCCAGTTGTTTTTGTTGCTGGGGTCATGGAGACACAGAAGCCGCCCGTCGCAGAGCCAAGAGTGAGAAGTGTGGGGGTCCAGCACATTCAGCCCCATCACCATCTCCTTCACCTCCTTCTGGGTATCTGTCAAGTTGCAGGACCGCTTTGAAGAATCTGAGGTTTTCTTATTTTCTACCACCGAGGCAATGATGTGGTCGAGAAAGTTGGGTAGGCTGGCTTTGCTCTTCGCTCCCTTCACAGACAAACCCTCAGGTAAGCTTGACTCAAGCACCATAAGAACATTAAAATATTTCCAAGTTCTAATCTATCTAATTAAGTACCATAAAACTTATTAAGATGCCTTCTGTAACTGTGGAGAAACAAAAAGTTACTAATTTTTAATATCTTACATTTCTCAGCCTTTTTTATTTTCTTACGTTTATGAAAGTACAGAAAGGTTTTGTTTTGTTTTTTTCCAAGACAGCTTCTTGTAGTCCTGGCTGTCCTAGAACTTGGCCTGTAGACCTCAGAGATCCGCCTGCCTCTGCCTTGAGCGCTGGGATTAAAGGTGTGCACCACCATCTGGCTCAGAAAGATCTTTTTGTTTTGTTTTGTTTTGAAAAAGACAGGGGTTTTCTGTGTGGCCCTGGTTGCCTTGAAACTTGGGCTGCACATCAGCACGGCCACTTGCCTGTGCTGGGATTAAAGGTGTAAGCCTCCAAGCCCATTGAGGAAATGTATTTCCCAACCTGGAAAATATATCTTTAGTATTGAACTCTGTGATAAGCATATGCATGTAGTCTGCAGAGTTCATTTAATGCTATGGCTGATTTTAAAAGATTCATTTAGAAAAAGCTCTCTTTGGATGGTATCCCCAAGAGATAATTCAATTAAGGAACTGACCAGACCTCACAAGGCAGTGCTTTTCTGGGCCGGTGAGATAGATCAGTGGGTAAAGGTGCTTGTTGCCACGTCTGATGGCCTGTGCTCTATCCACGGACCCACAGAGTCTGAGGAGAACACTGAACCCTGCATGCTTTCCCCTGCGGCAGGTGAGCACCCGCTCGTGTAACAGAAAAAGCCATTCCCTGCCAAGAACATCTATCTTAACAATGTCTGTCTAAGAACACTCCTTCAGGTCTTCTGCTACCACCCACGTGGCATCTCACTGTTTCAGCGGCTGGGAGAGCTCAGGCTCCCTGGAGAGGAAAGAGACACTGGCAAAGTCACAGAACGGAACAGAGGACTCCCATAAACCTGACACTCCCATCTGAAGTACTACCAACCACTTGTCTTACAACTGGGTGCAGTGCCAGGTAGGGCTCTGTGAGTTCAAGGCCAGCGTTGTCAACACAGCATTCCCAGACAGCCAGGGATACACAGTGAGACTGTCTCAACAGACAAACAACAACAAAACAAAACAAAACAAATCATATAATCATATAATGTTCTGAAAAAAATTCAAGAAAATAGGGATATAAGCAAGTACAAAAATATTTTTGAAA